AGTAATGAAAAGATTAAATTTTATGTGTTCTCAAAGTAAGCTGTCAAGATTTTGACATTGCCGGATTTCACAGAGTTCATGATATGTCTGTATTTTTTACTTTTTCTACATGATTATGGAGTTTCCATGTGCATAAAGTAATTTCTGTTGTGCTTCATAGAAGCACCTGTTTGAACTCCCTTTTGTATTCACTTCCTGTTTTCTTGGAGGAAAGAAAATGAAAAGGCTCATTGTGTAGAGAGCCTCTACCTCTCAGGACACGGAATTCCCACATGCTGATCAGATTTTTGCTCTTTCTGCAGTGGATAACGTTCTGACTCAGACAATGACCACTCACAATATAAGCCTTTCTGAGATGACTGCCATGGCCTGTCCAGACAGCCCAGGGCGCAGAGACTCTTGTGATGTGGGGAGCTCAGGCCTTCCACTTCTGTGAGGCAGATATGATCCACTCCTCTGACGGGATTGTGGGAGTCTGTACAAACAGCTTGACAAGTGATACTGCTATCAGTATTGATTCTGAAGAAGCATTTCTTCTGTTTTCTATGAGGGTGAACAATTGTTAGTTTCTGCACCCCAGCTTCCTACCCATAGTATGTGGAAAGGCCTCTGGGTAGGATTCGAGTGTTTCTGGATCATGACAATGGAGCTGTGAGCTTCTGGTGTTTCCAGAGGATTCCTCATATATAGCTTCCTTTCTTCCTCCTTCTTCTCCCATCTGGAGCTTTCAGTTGCCTTAGGTCTCCATGAATTGTCAAATTCCTTGACAGTTTATTTAATGACCTTCTCGTCTGAGGAAAATACAGCCCTGAAACACTGGCTGAGGCTACAGGATGATACCTGACTGTCTCTGATCTCACTGTGATTTAATGGAACATTATGACTGTGTGTTTATAAAGTAGCATAACCAGGTTGAAAGTATAATTTTGTTAATTAAATTATCTATTAATAAAACTCTTGTGGAGCTATATTTCTTGAATATAATCAGTGGATATTTTGTTTACTTATAATAGTTTTATTAGAATACAAGTTGCATGCCATAAGTTTCACGTTCACTTAAAGAAATGTGTCTTCCTTGCATAGTTGAATCCTATTTGAGAAGAAGAATAAAGTGGTATATACCTCAGCCTAGTAAACTAAATAAATAACTCAGTTTTTCTTCAAGTGTGACCTACTTGTGTGGATTCACATATTGACAGACATTGTGAAACCCTTTCTCTTGGTCAAACATCTAGACTTTCTCTAAACCCTAGTCATCCACCATATCATAGCTCATCAACAGATACCATTTCATCATAATAGTCAACAAAATTTCTTTAAATAACTAGATGCATTTTACTAGGCTACTTCAAATTCTGAGAGAATAAGCACCGTCTTTGCCTCACTTACTTCTCTATTCCCACTATCCAGTTCAGCACTTAGAATGTGGCACACAATAAATACAAGGCGAATGAATAAGCAAATACATGAGTGAAAGAGTTAAAACCCTGAAATATTACTCTATGGTAATTAAAGTTTTCCAAAATCTGCCTAACATATTACGCATAAAATACTAATGAATAATGTCTACAAGAGACAGGAAATTGATTTTCAGAGTCACAACCAATAAAAATTTCATTAGCTTGAGATTTGAAATATCTATCATGTAATATTATATGGGACTTCCCAGGTGGCACAGAAGTAAAAAATCTGCCTGCCAATGCAAGAAACACAAAAGATGTGAGTTTGATCGTTGATCAGGAAAATCCCTGGAGAAGGAAACAGCAACCAGCTCTAGTATTCTTGCCTGGAAAATTCCATGGACAGGGCTGCTTGGTGGGCTAGAGTCTTTGGGGTGTCAAAGAGTCAGACATGACTGAACCCATGTGAGAATGTATGTGCACACGCATGTGCACACACACACACACACACACACACACACACACACACTGTGTACATTGCCTCAGATGAGGAAAGAGTCACTTGTGATGTTCCTTTGTTTGAAGATCTGAGATGTCTGCTGGCTTGGTTCTGATCATTCTGGTGTCGACAACACGCCACCAAGATCTAACTATGTTCTTGCCTGGGGAGCTGAGTCATTTACTTCAGGTCAATATTATTGGGAAGTGAACGTGACAGGCTGTTGCAACCGGGCTATGGGATTTTGTAATTGTTCTTGATCCTGGAAGAATGACATAGCCCTTGACTCAGAGGGAATTTTTCTGCTTCTTTGTATCAAAGAGAACAGGCAGTGCAGGCTATTACCCACTCCCCACATGCATCTCAATCTGTCAGAAGGCCTCTGGGCCCAGTGGGGGTGTTCCTGGCTTATGATGGTGGTGCTGTGACTTTGCCTGTGTGTCCAAGAATTCTCTCACTTGTAGTTTTCTCTACTGCTCTTTCTCTTTTCCTCTCAAACCTTTTCTTTGCTCTGGACACCACTGATGAGGGAGAGGTCAAAACTCTGACCCCAGGGGTCAGGAATTCGAATAATGGAGATTGTTAATTTAGTGCTCACTTGACTTTCTGTAACTTCACCTTCTTTTATGAAGTCTATTTTTTAATGTAATATAAGTATATAAATTTGTTTGTTTTCTTGAAATAAATGTAATCTCTCTGGAAATATTTTGTTATTCTGTTGTCTGTTTGTTTGATTTCTAAGATAGCTGGAGGTCAAAGCATATCTTTTATGTTTCCCCAGCTTAATGGGTTAAAATAGCAACACAGATTTTTCTCACTGGCAGATTTAGAATTTTCTTCTCCATGCTGTGCATCTCCAAGATTATCTTCCTTCATCATGTCTAAGTTTGAAAGTCATTATTTCACAGATTTATTTTTAAAGTTACTGACTGAATGAGATCATTTTTTTCGACAGACTTGTCATATCTCATATTTTTTTCTGTTTAAAGCTCACAACCTAATATTGGCTGTCCCATTTAGTTTACCTATTACAAGAACATGTGTATCTATGGTCTGTACAGATAAATTCTACACAAGTAGCACAAATCTATCTGTCTAAAATACATGTGTTTGAGTAAGTTAATAGAGGTAGCAGATCATATACAAAAACAATCTACCAATATATTTTTTAAGTAACTTAGTTTTATTTTCTACTGTAACCACATTGAAGCATCCCACTCCTCAAGCAGCCCATAAGGAAAGCAAGTGAACCAAGAGATACCGAAGGCCAGAGCAGGCAACAAATGAGACTCATTTTGAGTTTATTTTTGTGTATGGTGTTAGAAAGTGTTCTAGTTTCATTCTTTTACAAGTGGTTGACCAATTTTCTCAGCACCACTTGTTAAAGAGGTTGTCTTTTTTCCATTGTATATTCTTGCTTCCTTTGTTGAAGACAAGGTGTCCATAGGTTCGTGGATTTATCTCTGGGCTTTCTATTCTGTTCCATTGATCTATATTTCTGTCTTTGTGCCAGTATCATACTGTCTTGATGACTGTGGCTTTGTAGTATAGTCTGAAGTCAGACAGGTTGATTCCTCCAGTTCCATTCTTCTTTCTCAAGATTACTTTGGCTATGGATTAAAGATCTAAATGTAAGACCAGAGACTATAAAACTCCTAGAGGAAAACATAGGCAAAACACTCTCCGACATAAATCACAGCAGGATCCTCTATGACCCACCTCCCAGAATACTGGAAATAAAAGCAAAAATAAACAAATGGGGCCTAATTAAACTTAAAAGCTTTTGCACAACAAAGGAAACTATAAGCAAGGTGAAAAGACAGCCCTCAGATTGGGAGAAAATAATAGCAAACGAAGCAACAGACAAAGGATTAATCTCAAAAATATACAAGCAACTCCTGCAACTCAATTCCAGAAAAATAAATGACCCAATCAAAAAATGGGCCAAAGAACTAAACAGACATTTCTCTAAAGAAGACATACAGATGGCTAACAAACACATGAAAAGATGCTCAACATCACTCATTATTAGAGAAATGCAAATTAAAACCACAATGAGGTACCATTACACGTCAGTCAGGAGGGCTGCTATCCAAAAGTCTACAAGCAATAAATGCTGGAGAGGGTATGGAGAAAAGGGAACCCACTTACACTGTTGGAGGGAATGCAAACTAGTACAGCCACTATGGAGAACAGTGTGGAGATTTCTTAAAAAACTGGAATTAGAACTGCCATATGACCCAGCAATCCCACTTTTGGGCATACACACCAAGAAAACCAGATCTGAAAGAGACACGTGCACCCCAATGTTCATCTCAGCACTGTTTATAATAGCCAGGACATGGAAGCAACCTAGATGCCCATCAGTAGATGAATAGATAATGAAGCTGTGATACATATACACCATGGAATATTACTCAGCCATTAAAAAGAATTCATTTGAATCAGTTCTAATGAGATGGATGAAACTGGAGCCCATCACACAGAGTGAAGTAAGCCAGAAAGATAAAGACCAATACAGTATACTTACGCATACATATGGAATTTAGAAAGATGGTAACAATAACCCTATATGCAAAACAGATAAAGAGACACAGATGTACAGAACAGAATTTTGGACTCTGTGGGAGAAAGCGAGGCTGGGATGGTTTGAGAGAACAGCATTGAAACATGTATATTATCTAGGGTGAAACAGATCACCAGCCCAGGTGGGATGCATGAGACAAGTGCTCGGGCCTGGTGCACCAGGAAGACCCAGAGGAATCGGGTGGAGAGGGAGGTGGGAGGGGGGATCGGGATCAGGAGTACAGGTAAATCCATTGCTGATTCATGTGAATGTAAGACAAAAACCACTAAAGTATTGTAAAGTAATTAGTCTCCAACTAATAAAAATAAATGGGAAAAAACAAAAACAAAAACAAATGAGACTCAAACAACGAGGTGGCGATTCCTCTTCAGTGTGAGCTCCCTGTGTCCCCCGAGCAGGGGACAGGATCAGGCCTCAGCCCCTTTCCTCAGCCTCTGCTTCGGGGAGTGGGGAGCCCCAGGCGCCGAAAGTTCCAGATCACCAGGGAAAGCTGATGGAGGGACTGCTGATGGAGATGGAAATTCAGAAGAAAGCAAGGCCTTCAGCGTCCACCGACACTCACGACACTGCCATTCCCTGTAAATTCCTCCCTATCATTCCTCGGTTGCCGTGGGCGGCTGGGATCAGAGATCTGTGCCCACATCCACCTCCGGGGACGGGAAAGGCGCTGAGTGTGAGCTCCGGTCCACGTCCCGGCCTCAATGCCGTGGCGCCGCACCCGCACCCGCACAAGGTCAGGGCCCCGCCCGCTCCCGACAAGAGCTGCACCGGCTCCACCTCCTCTGCGGCCCCGCCTCCTGGGCCGGACTGTCCTCACCTGCAGCCGCTCCAGCTGGAGGCGCTCCGGAGCCCAGGGTCACCTCGGCTTCTCCCCTGGGCCCCCCCTGAGACCACAGGGAACGCAAGGCTCCTCCAGACACCACACATCATCCACAGACTTTCAAAGCTGAGTCAGCTGGAGGCATCCGGCTCCCTGACCTCAGACTACACTAGTGATCAGGAGAGCAGGGTACTGACCCAGAAACAGAAATGCAGATCAAGGAGACAGGGCAGAAATCAGAGAGAAAACCCACACACCTATGGTAACCTTACTGCTGACAAAAAAGGCAATAATATATAGTGGAGCAGACAGTCTCTTCAGTAAGCAGTGCTGGGAAAACTGGACAGCGAGCTGTTAAAGAATGAAATCAGAGCACGCCTTAACACCATAAACCAAAACTCAAAATGGATTAAAGACCTATGTGGAAGATCATACTCTATAAAATTCTACAGGAAAACATAAGCAGAACATACTTTGATATAAATCGCAGCAAGATACTTTTTGACCCACCTCAAAGAGTAGTGAAAATAAACGCAAAAATCTTGAAAGTTTTAATGAATGGTACCATTCTACCACATGGTCCTGAATCAGCATATTTTCCCTCAATTTCACTTCTGGGTCTTTATTAGAAAAAAATCAAACAGACTACATGGAAAACATATATTCACTCCAATATCCATCATAGTGAATATGATCTCCTGTGTCTCTGAATCTGAAGTTATTCTGGGCTCCTTTTTCCCGCTGCCCTCTTTTGTTGCAGTGGTATATTTTGAAGGCTTCAAGGCATGAACTGCTATACATTTGCTACCTATGCTTTTAAGATTCAAATTCATAAACTTCTTCAAGCTCGTAGGCTAATTTTCCCCAGGTTGCAGGTAATAGAGGCAAGTGCCTCTGAGAGTCAGGACAGTGGAAGCAGACAGGAAAAAAGAGAAATTAGAAAGATTTTCTAAGAATGATACAAATTCACCTGATGTTTCTGCCTGATTAATGTAACATGAGAAAAAGTTCTGATGAACATTTTCAGGTTAATGTGTATTAGTAGACACTGACGAAGCCTGTGGCACCAAAAGAGGAACTCTTGCAGGAATCCTCACCACGGTAATGATGTCCTTGTGTGGGCCTGTGATCCCAGAGCTCATTTCAGGAGCCATCACTGGGCGATGGTCAGGCTCAGCCACTTGCTATGAATTTACAGCAATACACAGGTCACAACTTTCCTGTGCTGTGAAAGGTAATCAGAGAAACATAGTTATGATTTTCCTACCCTTTATAATCTCAGAATTTTTACAATATTTCCCAGTTTCTTCTGTAGATTTGCTGATTTGGCTTGAGACTGATATTTTTCCAGTCAGAACTCCCAGAAAGTCATAGCCTCTTGTTTTTTTCCAGAAAGAATGTAGGTGGAGGCTGTTCTGTGAGAGACAATTTTATTGTTTAAAAAGGGTGTTACTGGATTCTCCTCTGGTTTCCATGGTGTAAAGTTCCTAACAGTACAGAACGGCGCCCTCTCCTGGCCTCCTGCCTCTATGTCATCTGAAAGTGGAAGTCACACAGTCCTGTGCAACTCTTTGCCACCCACGGACTATACAGTCCATGGAGTTCTCTAGGCCAGAATACTGGAGTGGGTAGCCTTTCTGTTCTTCAGGGCATCTTTCCAATCAAGGGATCGAACCCAGGTCTCCCAAATTGCAGGCAAATTCTTTACCAGCTAAGCCACACGGGAAGCCCAAGAATACTGGTGTGGATAGCCTATCCCTTCTTGACCAGATCTTCCTGAGTTAGGAATCAAACCGGGATCTCCTGCATTGCAGCCGGATTGTTTACCAACTGAGCTATCAGGGAAGCCCCTATGTCATCTAGGTTTTTGGTTTGTTTTTCTTCTCCTGATGGTCCAGTGGGTAAAGCATTCATATAAAATTTAATGCAGGGGACATGTGACACATCGGTTTGATCCCTGGGTTGGGAAGATCCCTTTCAGGAGAAAATGACAACCTACTCCAGTATTTTTGACTGAAAAATTCAACAGAGAACCTTGGTGGGCTACAGTCCAAAGGATCCCAGAGTCAGCCATGACCAAGGACACATGCACTGTGCACACCAAACAAGTACTTGAGAAATTTTCTCAAATTTCCTAAACCCTCCACGGCAATACGTTTTTAACTCCAATACATCCGATTAATTCAAACTTCTCTTGCTATAAAGAATTGTGGTCAAAATGGGAAGCTATTAAGTGAAATGAAACTTGGAAATTAAGACAAAAATCTCTTAAATCTTCCATTACAGAGCTGTAACTTCCTAGACAACCTGCTCATGTTGGTGGTAGGAATGGTACAGACAGGAAACAGAATGAGAGAGTGGAATTGTTGAAGGAAGAAAGGAACGGGACCAGCGTGGTTTCAAATCTCACTAGACCTCTTTGATACAAATTCCTTTCATGTGTGTATACACACACACACACACAAAAGTATGCATCAATATATATATACACAAAAATATGTGTATATATATGTGTGTGTGTGCTTCATATATATGTCTTTACATATTTCATTCTGGTGAAGTCACACCATGGTTTACACTTGTTATCCACGAAGTTGTTGTTTGGAAATAATCGAACTCCCCAAATATGAATTTCATACCTTCATTTCATGAACAATATAATAGTCCTAATTTAACTGACCCATCCAGGCTCATCACCCACTAGATTTAGTTGTCTGTCTGAATTTGCCTGCATTCACTCTGTGACACTTCAGAAAGCAGAGTCCTTCAGATTCCATTTTTCAACACAGGACACTCAGGCTCCCCTAAATACCACTGATTGCACGGAGATAACCCTCTAGTCTCTGATAGGTATTATCAATCTCATCTGAACTAAAATTATTTCATGTTTTTTTCTTTTCATTCAGTTCTGCATGAAATTTTTCCTTCAGAATATTTTTGTTTATTTTTTGTTTTGTTATTCTGTTTAAGTTACACACTAATGCTTTTCTCTTTATATCTGTAACTCCACACATAATAGCTATTGTTGGTTTTTGTCTAAGACTCTATACCTGTTCCTCATTCCTTGCATATGACCTCATACCCTCTCATTCTTCTATTTATTTAATGATGGGCCATGACACATCACTCAGGGAAGGTTACTAGATGAGCATATTTATTTATTTTTCAATTTTCACTGGAATATCCTTGATTTTGAAAGTTGTGTTAGTTTCTCTTGTACAGTCTGGTGAATCAATTATATAAATACATGTATCCACTCTTTTTTTAAAGATTTTTTCCCCATAGAGATCATCACAGAGTATAGAATAGAGTTCCCTGTGCTACACAGCAGATCCTTATTTATTACAGCTTTATGCATAGGAATGGGTGTATGATCATCCAGATCTCCACTTTATCCTGGAGAAGGCAATGGCAACCCACTCCAGTATTCTTGCCTGGAGAATCCTGGGGACAGAGGAGCCTGGTGGGCTGCTGTCCATAGTGTCGCACAGAGTCGGACGTGACTGAAGCGACTTAGCATGCATGCCACTTTATCCCTCCCATCCTCCACCCTATTTCTTAGCAACTGGTACCTTAAGCTTGCTTTCTCCATCTGTGTCTTTCTTTTGTAAATAACCTCATTTGTACCATTATTTTAGATTCCATATATGGTCAATATGACATGATATTTATCTTTTTTTTTCTGACTCAGTCACTTCTCCCCTGAGTTCACCTTGACAGAGAGCCACTCTTGGGGCCTCGCAGAGGAAGATTCGGCGACTGGGCAGGTGCAATGCCGGTGAACCTGCAGGGTTCAGGCACCAGCGGAGCTCCTGAGAACCTCGATAAGGCCGCAGCCGCGGAATCCCCACGAATCTCCTCCGGTTCAATGGTCCATCACCCTTGTTTCCAACGCTGACTCTCACCAAGGCCCGCACATGGTGCCCACGGATCTGAGTTGTTTTCTGATACTTGGGCCACGTCCATCGGGAGACAGTATCCTCAGGACGGCCCGGACTCCAGGGCCCCATCAGGCACTTGCAGACAAAAAGATGCTGGGGTTCCCTGGAGCAGCCCGTTTAACACCCAGGAATAAGGCCATTCTCCCATCGCCACGCACATCCTCCTGACTCCCTACTGGGCTTGCAGACTCCTGGGCGGACAGAAGCCAAGATCCTTCCCAGAAACACGGGCTCTGAGCCCTGCTGCCATGTAGACTTGGCGTCCCTCCCGGAGCCCCTGGAGCGGGTGTCCGAGCGCCTCCAGCCCCGCGCCCCCCTCGGGCGGGTCCCTCAGTGGCGGGGCCGGAGCGCACTGACCGCCAGGACCGCCCTGGCTCAGACCCCGGCAGACCCGGTTCTCCTGAAAGACACGCTGCTCTCGGGGAAGGCAGGTCTCTGTGGGAGGAGGTGGCTCCATCAGCGGTGATGCCAGAGAAAGGACAGAGTCTAAGGTCTCCCCAGGACTCCAAACGCCCGTCTCCAGGGGGAAGCCTTGACCCCGAGTCGGGGTTGGGATTGCTTGTCTCTAGCCCCGCAGGTCAGAGGGGCCTGAGGACCGCTTTCTGCTCTCCCTCCCGCTGCGGTGGCCGCGGAATTCTGGGCTGCAGGAGTTCCAACTGGGAAGCTGAAGCCTTTATATACTATTTTTTGGTTCAAAATTTTTCTGTAGCAACACTTAGATTTTTTGCTAGATGTTTATTTTTTAAAAGAAAAAATCAGTAATGGTGATTTCAAAACATCACTCTTGTATGCTCCTCTGAAAGGCTCACGTTGTGAATGGTAATTTTCTGACTGAGAATGTTATCCAAGGGAGAAAGAGGAAAATCAGGTCAGTTAATGGCATTTCCATATCCTCAGAGAGAAAGTCTCTCTATTCAGTGAGTTAGTTCAGTTTCCCTTCTCCAAGGAAAGACAGAGCACAAACCGCAGAGAGTTCAAACTGACTTTTTCTAGGAAGAACAAAAGTTATTAGTATCACTACAGCATATAGAAACACCTTCAATCACATAGAGAAAGTAAAACAAAAGCAAGAGAGGTATATTATGAACTGTGAAGTCTGATTTAATGTCAGCCTCTTGAGGGCTTCCCAGGAGGCTCAGTGGCAAAAAAAATATCTGCCTACCAATGCAGCTGACACAGATCGGATTTGATCTCCGGGTCAGGAAGATCCTGTGGAAAAGGAAACGACAACCTGCTCCAGTATTCTTACCTGGGAAACCCCACGAACAGAGGAACCTGGCAGGTTATAGTCCATAGAGTCATAGAGTCAGAAACAACTGAGCACTCACATGGATATTTTATTTCAGGACTCACCTAAAACATTATTTTTATCTTTTAGTAGAAAGTTTTTCTTGTGTCACTTTTGTTAAACGCATGGAGCATGTAGATGGCACTTTGTTATCACGTGGATACTTATTAGGGGATTTTCTCTACCTATTACATTTTTCAAAGGTCCAAAAGTTTGACAGCAATTCATCAGTGAATACAGGAAACTTCAAAAAGGATGTTCCAGATAATCATGTTCACAAAACTCTTACCTTTCAGTTACTTGATATTGATATAATATTTAGATTCTGCATATGATCCTTACAACTATTCGGCCAAAGACAAATTTAATCTTTTTTGTCAATTCTTCCTGATTTTACAAATAATAAATATTCATTGTGCAATGAATAATAGATTCAGTTATAATACAGTGAAAATTAAAAACCAGCAATGGCACCTTTGGGAATATAAAATATTACCATATTATGTTTTCAAAATATAAATTATATCCAATTTAAACTTTCCTGTTTTTCTCAGACATTATTTCAATTTTCAACTCAATGAACTTCATTCCCTTCCCTTATTCCATGTCAGGTAAGGTAAAGATCACTGCATTTTAGAGAACAAGCGGGCTTGTTGTGATGGAACAAGCTACTCCTAGAAGGAAAATCACAGTCCCTTTTCTCACTTGTGGGCTTCCCAGGTGGCGCTAGTGGTAAAAAACCTGCAGATGCAGGACACATAAGAGCTGAGGATTCGATCCCTTGTTTGGGGAAGATCCCCTGGGGGAGGACATGGCAATCCACTCCAGTATTCTTGCCTAGAGAATCCTACAGACAGAAGAATCTGGTGGGCTACAGTCCGTGGGGTCGCAAAGAGTCTGATGCAACTGAAGAGACTTAGCACGAACGCATTCTCACTTGTTACTGGTGAGATTACTGGTTGCTGCAATTAGGGCTATCATATAGTTTGTAAAATGAAGATATGAAACTCAATCCTGGCTGTTGAGGGAAACTACCTGACTGCCTTGAGGAGAAGGTCCTCACAAGGAACTGGCGAAGGGCCAGGGCCGCCAGGCATGTCTCGATGTTTTGCCCTGGGAAACAAACACCTTCTAGCTGGTCATCACACAAGTTTAGAGCACGAACAGACCTGGCACCTAATGAACTCTTGTCCATCTGGTTCCAACTGGATATTTGAAAGCCACGAGAACCAAAACACAGCGCTCTTATCCTAGGTGTCAAAGCCAGGATTTAAGACCCCATGGACACTCCATACCCTTTAGCTATTTTCAGACAGCTGCCCACCGACCCTCCCCCTCTCCTTCTACAAGATAAACACATCTGCGACCCCATCCTAAGGGAGCTGGGAGGGAAGAAAGGAGGGAGGAGGGAGCCTCCCCAGCACAGACAATCAGAGACTCGGCCTTGACTTGGGTTGTTAAGATAGGACCGCCTCCCTTCTCCGGCTGGCAGGAACAGTGATCCCGGGGAGCTCAAGCCCTGGGGGAGGAAGAACTTATGGCTTTTACGACTGCATGAGAATAGTGCTGAGTATAACAAGCTTGCCTTGAGGAAAAGAGATTGTCTTTTGATCCTGAGAAAATAGAGTCTATGTGTCTCATGAACTTTGTAAACTTGCTGTTATCAACTTTGTACGTGCTCACGCTCTATCTGTGTAACCTTGATTTTTGTAAGCTGTTTCCTTGCTCTCATGTATAAAACGACCCTCTGTAGAAGTAAAGTTTTGTCAGTCTCCCATAGAGGCTGTCGGTGTCCTTTCTTCAGAGTCTACTCCGATGACCTTTCCACACCTGGGGAGTTCAGTTATTTCCAAACAACAACTTATGGCTATCTTGGCCAGAGCAGTATGTGGTATTTTGGGGGACTGTGAGTACCCAGGTTGAAAAATAGAATGTGAAGGACTCCTCATTCTGAAGAAATATCACTGAATGAATGCAGGCAAATTCAGAAAGGCAAGTAAATCTAGTGGGTGATAGGGCTAGATGGGTAGGTGCTATTACACTATAATATAGTTCATTAAATGGAGATGTGAAATTCATACTTGGATAGTTTATTTTTAAAAAAACTTCATGAATTACAACAGTAAATTCATAGTGAGACTTTTATCAGAGGTTGGATTGTGGCAATTGGATTAAGTAGGTTTCAAACAGTTTGAATTCAATCATTGGCATCCTCATGTGTTTCCAACTCTGCAAAATCTAATCATGTGCATCTGTACCTTTTCACAGAGTTGATAACCCTATCACTTGGAAGAAATGGGTGTGGTCATTGGAGAATATAAAGCATCCAGCAAGAACCAAGCTCAATGTTCTCTGGAGCCCAGAGCTGTGGTGTTTGGAGTTGGCTGAGCTGTGAAGGCTTTTGAAAGTTTCTGCCACCAGCAGTGGAGCACCTAAATCCTGAACTGAATTTGAGAGTTACCCACTGAAAAAGAGAGGAAAATTTTATTAACTACAACCAAAGGTGAATTCTGATGAAGATGCAATGAAATTCTGATATGTTCATTTAAAAATAAAATTTTAATGGCAATCCTGGTCACAAAAGTTAGTTGTATTTATTCTTTCAGTACTATCTATGTTTGAGCACTTTCTCAAGCACAGATTCCATGTGGGATTTGCAGACAACTAACTTATTTTTACCCACACTATATCAAGTAACCTCCTTATAAAATGTGGGTAAAAATAGAAAATTAGTAAATATTGTTGAGACAAATGAAGCAGTTTATCCATAGAAAAGGATTTAATTCAATGAGAAATACTAGGCAACACATATTAAGTTCTATTATTGTTTTAATATTATCATGGTCATTGATGTTATCAGTCTACAAATGATGTTATCAGTCTACAATTCATGCTAACTATTGTTTCCTGATTATTGTGGTACTTGAACATTCGCCAGTTCAAAATATGGCATGCTCTGATGATATTAACTGGCTCCAGGAAAACTTGCTTTCCTGAACTAGAAGTGACATTTTTTTTTTTCTTCTTTTTGTCTTGAAAGGAGCAGTTTTGTTATTTAAGTTGGAAGCAAGCTCTGAACTCTTTAGGGTTAAGACATCAGATTAAAGCCAACACTGATTGTATGAAATTTCATTTCTTTGTAAACAAATTCCTTTGTATTTAGAAAAGCACTTCTATCACTTTGATGACAGAAGGAACTGAGGCCAGGAGGAGAGAAACGAAGGGTGTGCTAGTGTGGGTTCCAGTCAGGGAGTCATGGAGATCAAGAGAGACAGACTGAGGTTGTGTGTGTGCTTCTGTCTGAATCAGCTAATAAAGTAACTCTGAAGCCATCCCAGCACTTACCCTCCGTTCTAATCTTTAAGGGGCTTCCCAGGTGGTTCCATGGTAAAGAATCCACCGGCCAATGCAGGAGATACAGGAAACACCGGTTCAGCTGCTCAGTTGGGAAGATCCCTTGGAGAAGGGAATGGCAACCCTTTCCAGGATTCTCGCCTGGGAAATCCCAAGACGAGCCTGGTGGGCTACAGTCCATGGCGTAGCAACAAGTCAGACAGGCCTGAGCACACACACACTAATCTTGAAGCTTCTCCATGTATTACTAATGTTAGTATTATTGAAATCCTGGTTTATTTTAAATGAAACAGTTGCTAAGGACTATTTTATTGTATTTCATCTTTTGTATAATAGTTCAAATCCAAGGTGTATATAGCCATCATCTCTAGGTTTGTTCTGGGGAGGAAAGCAAATAGGGATATTAGAGTTCAAGACAGGACTTTGTCCAAATTTTTCCTGATGAGGGCAGAAGAAAGACTTTTTCTCTTACCCTCTCTTCTTTCTTTCTTTAATTTTCAGAAACATGGATTCAGACACACTGCAGGTCTTCCAGAGTGAACTCACCTGCTCCATCTGCATGAACTGCTTCCTGGAGCCCATCACCATAGACTGTGGGCACAGCTTCTGCCATCCCTGTCTGAGCCTTTGCTGGGAAGAAGGCCAGACTCTAAGGAGCTGCCCTGAGTGCAGGGGAATAGCAGAGAGGCCCGATTTCAAAAGCAATATTGCCCTCAGGAGGCTGGCTTCCCTTGCCAGATAGGCCACGACCACCGCTCTGAGGAGCAGATCTGTGAGACACACCAGAAAGCCAGAGGCCTCTTCTGTGAGGCTGACCAGACCCTGCTCTGCGGGCCCTGCTCTGAATGCCCCGAGCACGCAGCTCACAGCCACAGTCCCATACACAGGGCTGCTGAGGAGTCCCGGGTAGGTGATGCCTCTAGAGCAGTTTGGGATCTAGAGGTTCCTAAGTCAGAAAAGAAGATGAGAGGCTATGATGGTGATGAGGATGGAGGTAGTGGAGGTGGGATTTCTGAATGTGGATCAATGTGTCCTTTCAGTGTTGCCCAATTGTCCACACATGTGGAAATGCAGCATCCCGGGGAGGGTGGCACCAGGGAGACAGGCTTCTGCTGGGGGCTTGAGGCTTTCTTACTTGGGCTATTAGAATCTGAGTCTCAGTATCTTGGGGAATGGATTCCATTATCTCTAAAGTTCCCCCAGTTCTCTAGTATACAGTTCTATTCCTTAATATTCAAATATTGGCATCAAATTAAATTAATGTGGAAAATTCTGACAACGGCCTCCTAAGTCAAGGTTTCTGTACAACTAATAAATGCCTTTGCTCATGAATAAGGGGATTAAATTTATGGTGTCATCTTCTCTGTCACTAAATCCCATGGGTATTTTGCAGGAGAAATTCCTGAAGAGAATGAGCTCTTTATGGAAAATGAGAGAAGAAATACAAATCAGCCTGAATCAGGAAGCTAACACAACTCAATCCTTTGAGATAATAATAAAAATGTTTGTATTTATTTGTATAAATATTGACAAATTTTAGCCTAGATTTTTGAGGTCAATGTAAGTTCCTGTTAAATGCTACCGGTCTCTTCCCTGGAGAAGTGGTTTCAAATGATTGATCAGTAACTGCAATTAGAGCAGGCTAATATATGCTAGTTCAAAAATACTAGTATATTGGAAGACCAAGCCACGAAGTGTATTCCAAGGCCACATTTTGAAGACTGGAATAAGCCTTTTCAGACATGGGGTATTAGACACATCACACTAACTGTGACCGTGAAGGAGAAGAGAGGAAGAGAGTTGTACCTAGAGGGAAAACGATGGCTCAGGGGTAAAGAATCTGCCTGCAATGCGGGAGCCACAACAGACATGGATTACATCCCTGGGTTGGGAAAATCCCCTGGAGGAGGAAATGACAACCCACCCCAGTATTCCTGCCTGGAGAATCCCATGGACAGAGGAGCCTGGCGAGCTACAGTCCACAAGGTCACAAAGAGTTGGGCACAACTGAAGAGAGTCAACATGCAGGAAAAAAAAAAACAAAACGTAAAAATGGATTTACTTCATGAAGGAGTATTTAGAAGAATCAGAGAAAGGAACAAGAGAAAAACAAGACTTAGGGCGGAGAAGGAATAATTGATGGAATAAGAACCTGGAAGTATCCTCCTTGGCAGACAGCCTAGGGTCCCTCATATGACTTGATTTTAACAGGAAAAGAGACTAGGGATTCAGAAAAAGCATGGGCAATAAGGACCAGATCATATTCAAGACTCTTTGATGCATGTGGCAGTTTGTCAGGAACTTCCTTGATGACACTAAGGAAATAATATTTGAAGCTTTCTTTTGAGTGTGAACATAAGTAATGCTTTGGATCTACTATCTCTAGGACTATGTGGCCTTAAGGAAGGTGATGATCAAGCTTAAGTATCAGAGGATACTTCGGTTTCTCCGGGAAGAGGAGCAACTGCATCTGAGGGCCCTGGAGAGAAGCCAAGGAGATTTGTGAACAACTCAAGGAGAGTGTGTTCAGAATGACTCAACAGAGAGAAAGTCTGAAAGAAATGTACAGAGAGCTGACGGAGATGTGCCACATGCCGGACATGGAGCTGCTCCAGGTGAGAAAGGAGGGTCTGTCCTCAGAGAAACACTCTTCTAGATGAGCTGCTATGACACTGAAATGTTACCTATCCAGACAGATGGTAACACAATCAGCAAGATTCTGTGACCAAGGGAAAGTTAATTTTCTTGGAGTAAATCTCAGTATACATCCCACTAAACCCTCAGCACTCTCTGCTATCCACACTTCCTGAAGACACTGAGGTTCTTCCTGTCACACAGGCAAGATGTTTAGAACTGGTATCAATTTTAATGCAATCTATAATTCTTTTTATGCAATTGCCTGGTTTACCTTAATTGTTACCATAAATGGTGAGATCACTGCATGTCGACAGCACCGGGCAGTGAGTGACACTGGAAACCTAGATGTTGCTGCATCATGTGCAGCCCCTCCCTGCCCTCTTTCCTTCCTTAATGAGACCTGAGGACGTCCATCATGTTCTAGGTTAGGGTCGGTTATGAAGATTGCTTCTGAGTGTTACTTAGAAGAGAATTATAAAACCATGTCTCATTATGAAACAGGAAAATGGAAAAGAGATGGAAACAGACAGAACTCTAATGGTTAACATGATCTTTTTTTTTTTCCCCATTTGCAGGGCTTGGAAAATGTACTGGAAATGTGAGTATACACTAACGATTTTTGATTTCTGAAACATTTTTGTCTTTTTGATGAAGTGGACCCACACTTCTTGCCTGGGATCTGGGGATTCATTTCAGGTCCTCCCCCATATCTAAATCCCAGGATACAGGATCCTTTATACATAATGCCACAGTGTCTGCAGATAGCTAATATGCATGCCCCCATACACTTTGTCATCTCAAGACAATTTTACAACATATACTGTGTAAAGTAAATGCTGCATAAGTCATTCCCTAGTATGTGGCATTTTCAATTTTTACACTTTTGGAAATTTCTGGAATTTTTTGTGAATTTTTTCACTGAGAACAAAGGCAAAGGGGAAGGAAGTTTGCACTGGGGATTTTGGATTGACTGGTACCCACAGTATATGAAGTACAGTTAGAACAGTAGCTCGGATCCTATTGTGAAATAAAGGGATAAATGAGCAAATGCACAGCCCAGAATGCCCACTGTATATGAAGTACAGTTAGAACAGTGGCTCGGATCCTATTGTGAAATAAAGGGATAAATGAGCAAATGCACAGCCCAGAATGCCCACTGTGTATGAAGTACAGTTAGAACAGTAGCTCGGATCCTATTGTGAAATAAAGGGATAAATGAGCAAACGCACAGCCCAGAATGCCCACTGTATATGAAGTACAGTTAGAACAGTGGCTTGGATCCTATTGTGAAATAAAGGGATAAATGAGCCAATGCACAGCCCAGAATGCCCACTGTATATGAAGTACAGTTAGAACAGTGGCTCGGATCCTATTGTGAAATAAAGGGATAAATGAGCAAATGCACAGCCCAGAATGTCCACTGTATATGAAGTACAGTTAGAACAGTAGCTCTGACCCTATTGTAAAATAAAGGGATAAATGAGCGAATGCACAGCCCAGAATGGACAGGTGCATCCATGTGTGAATCCACAGGTACAGAGCCCTAGCATATGGATTACCAACGTTGTCTTTTTGGCTATTTTCTATTTTATTTCAAAAGAATTTCCAGGGCTTCTGACCCTTGGTCTCAGTAGTTTCCTTTTCATTTGACTGAAATCGAATATGTCTGAAAACCTGCTGACATTCTGGGCTTTGTTCCACCACTCGACCCATTCTCTCCAGCCCGACCACAATAAACTTAGCGAGGGATTTTTCTAAGACATCACAGAGGAAGCACCTACCCTAGTGAGTTGGAAGGTGAAAAAGGCATGAACGAGGCACACTCCCTACCATGGCAAGAGAGACTGTGATTTTGTTAATAGCGGGTAGCAGTGACTCAACCCGCTCCATCACAGCAAAACCCCTGCAGGCAGGACCTCACAGGGAGCGGCTTTCTGCTGCCCACTGGGAAGTGAGCCGTTCAGGACCAGGGCAGCCAGGTTGGACCTGGGTCACCTTGCTGGGCTGACAAGAGTAAACAAGTCTGGTCAGTGAGGACTTCCATTTAGACACTGAATGCATCCTTGACGGCTACTTTGTGAGTGAAGTCTCAAAGGCTTAGCCTGAATTTTTTGCTGTCCGTAAAATGCCCAGGATCTTTGAATTGATGGAATTGACAAAGGGAATGAAGTTTAGTGAGTGCAAATTTGGAATATTGTCTGAGAAAAATGGGGAAAATGAAATTTCATGTGATTTATATTTATTAAAATATATGGCAACATTTTTATATTCTCAATGAGTAGAATGTATTGTACATGCAAATCACCAACAGTAGGAGAATCCTGAGAACATATTGGATCCTGTAGTGAAGTCTGCTGTTTTGCAATGCTCGCGTGATTAGCCATTGGTCTTGACATGGAACCCATGTCCTTTGTTACAGGACTGGCTTGGCACAGATGCAGAAGCCTCAGCCCGTGAACCCAGAGCTCCCTTCCTGGCCTGTTGCTGGATTCCTAAACATGCTGAACAACTTCAGAGGTAAGAGTAAGCCTTTTGGTGATCAGGACTACATTTCGTTAGAGCTTCTTGGGAACAACCCTTCTTTCATTTTTGTTGTATTTTTTTTTCTTTTTTTAGATATGAAGGTGGTGCATAAATTCCTGAAGTTGTTAACATCTTTTTCTACTTCCATCAGTTCAGTTCAGTCATTCAGTCTTGTCTGACCCTTTGTGACCACATGGACTGCAGCACAGCAGGCTTCCCTGTCCGTCACCAGCTCCTGGAGTTTACTCAAACTCATGTCCATTGAGTCGGTGATGCCACCCAACCATCTCAATCTGTCGTTCTCTTTTCCTCCTGCCTTCAATTTTCCCCAGGATCAGGGTCTTTTCAAATGAGTGAGTTCATCCCATCAGGTGCCAAAGTGTTGGAGTTTCAGCCTTAGCATCAGTCCTTCCAATGAATATTCAGGACTGATTTCCTCTAGGATGGACTGGTTGGATCTCCTTGCAGACCAAGGGACTCTCAAGAGTCTTCTCCAACACCATAGTTTAAAAGCATCAACTCTTTGATGCTCAGCTTTCTTTATAGTCCAACTCTCACATCCATACATGACTACTGAAAAAACCATTGCCTTGACTAGATATATTTTTGTTAGCAAAGTAATGTCTCTGCTTTTTAATATGCTGTCTAGGTTGGTTATAACTTTTCTTCCAAGGAGCAAGCATCTTTTTATTCCATGGCTTCAGTCACCACTGCGGTGATTTTGGAACCTCCCCCCAAATAGTCTATCACTGTTTTCATTGTTTCCCCATCTATTTGCTATGAAGTGATGGGACCAGATGCCATGATCTTAGTTTTCTGAATGTTGAGCTTTAAGCCAATGTTTTCACTCTCTTCCTTCATTTTCATCAAGAGGCTCTCTAGTTCTTCCCTTTCTGCCATAAGTGTGGTGTCATCTGCATATCCGAGGTTATTTATATTTCTCCCAACAGTCTTAATTCCAGCTTGTGCTTCATCTAGTCCAGCATTTCTCATGATGTACTCTGAATTTAAGTTAGATAAACAAGGTGACATTATACAGCCTTGACTTATGCTTTTCCGGACTTGGAAACAGTCTTTTCTTCCAACTCCAGTTCTAACTGTTGCTTCTTGTCCTGCATGCAGATTTCTCAGGAGACAGGTCAGGTGGTGTGGTATTCCCATTTCTTGAAGAATTTTCCACATTTGTTGTGATCCACACAGTCAAAGGCTTTGGTGTCATCAATTAAGCAGAAATAGATGTTTTTCTGAAATTCTCTTGTTTTTTTAATGATCCAGCAGATGTTGGTAATTTGATCTCTGGTTCCTCTGGCTTTCCTAAACTCAGGTTGAACATCTGGAAGTCCAGGGTTCACATACTGTTGAACCATGGTTTGAAGAATTTTGAGCATTAATTTGCTAGCATGTGTGATGAGTACACTTGTGCAGTAGTTTGAGCATTCTTTGGCATTGCCTTTCTTTGGGATTGGAATGAAAACTGACCTTTTCCAGTCCTGTGGCCACTGCTGAATTTTCCAAAGTTGCTGGCATATTGAGTGAAGCACTTTCACAGCATCATCTTTTAGGATTTAAATCGCTCAACTGGAAGTCCATCACCTCCACTAACTTTGGTTGTTTGTAGTGATGCTTCCTAAGGATGTCTTGACTTTGCATTCCACGATGACTGGCTCTAGGTGAGTGATCACACCATCTTAGTTATCTGGGTCATGAAGATCTTTTTTGTATAGTTCTTCTGTGTATTCTTACATCCTCTTCTTAATATCTTCTGCTTCTGTTAGGTCCATGCTATTTCTGTCCTTTATTGAGCCCATCTTTGCATGAAATGTTTCCTTGATATCTCTACTTTTCTTGTCGAGATCTCTAGTCTTTCCCATTATATTGTTTTCCTCTATTTCTTTGCATTGATCACTGAGGAAGGGTCTTTTTTTTTTTTAATCTCTCCTTGCTATTCTTTGGAACTCTACATTCAAATGGATATATCTTTGCATTTCTCTTTTGCCTTTAAGTACTCTTCTTTTCACCATTAATTATAAAGCCTCCTCAGACAACCATATACCTTTTTTGTGTTTCTTTTTCTTGGAGATGGTCTTGATCACTACCGCCTGTACAATGTCATGAACCTCTGTCCATAGTTCTTCAGGCATTCCCTCTATCAGATCTAATCCCCTGAATCTATTTGTCACTTCCATTGTACAATCATAAGGGATTTGATTTAGGCCATACCTGAATGTTCTAGTTGTTTTCCCTCCTTTCTTCAATTTAAGACTGAATTTGGCAATAAGGAGTTCATGGTCTGTGCCACAGTCAGCTCCTGGTCTTGTTTTTGCTGACTGTGTAAAGCTTCTCCATCATTGGCTGCAAAGAATATAATCAATCTGACTTTGGTATTGACCATCTGGTGATCCATGTAGAGAAGTTGTTGTTGGAAGAGGGCATTTGCTATGACCAGTGTGTTCTCTTAGGAAAATTCTATTATCCTTTGTCCTGCTTCACTGTGTACCACAAGGTCAAATTTGCCTGCTACTCCAGGTATGCCTTGACTTCCTATTTTTGCATTCCTGTCCCTTATAATGAAAAGGACATCTTTGTTGGGTGTTAGTTCTAGAAGGTCTTGTAGGTCTTCATAGAACTGATCAATTTCAGTTTTTTCAGCATTACTGGTTGAGGCATAGACTTGGATTACTGTGCTATTGAATGGTTTGCCTTGGAAATGAGCAGATCATTCTGTTTCTGAGACTGCATACAAGTACTGCATTTTGGACTCTTTTGTTGCCTCTATAGTCAGATTATAAACACCAAGTCTGATGTTTGCCACCTGTACTTTCCTGAAAATGCAAAGCCAGATACACACACACACACACACACACACACACACACACATATATATATATCTGACATAGGATAAGAAAAAGGAGAGCAACAAGGCTGTTACTGTGGTTATAAAGAGACAGTATTTTAGTTCTGTGAATGACCATCAATATGTTGTTCACTCAGTTTATTTCACTCTTGAGCCTAAATCCGTCATTGTTGCTTTTAATTTACTGTATGGGCTTTCCTGGTGGCTCAGATGATAAAGAGTCTGCCTGCAATGCAGGAAACCCAGGTTGGAGCCCTGGGTTGGGAAGATCCCTGGAGAAGGGAATAGAAATCCTCTCCAGTATTCTTGCCTGGAGAATTCCATGGACAGAGCAGCCTGGTGGGCTACATGTAGTCCATGGGGTCGCAAAGAGTCAAACAGGACTGAAGGACTAACACTTTCATTTTCACTTCATTATAACTACAATTATTACACATTGTCCAAAGAATATTTATTATTTCTAAAATTAGGAATAAATGACAGAAAAACTGAAATGGGCTTTGGCAGAAGAATTGTAATGCTCTCAATCTCACAACAACTTTAATGCAAGGGATGTATGAGCACTGTTAGTCAGAACATCTTTTTTGAAGCTTCCAAATTATTCATAGATGGATTTCTATCAATTTTTTGACCTTTGAAAATGTAATAGGTAGAGATTATACCCCCATAAATATCCACGTGATAACAAAGCGCCATCTGCAGTTTCCATAGTGTTAAGTACAAAGGACACAAGAAAAGTTTTCTAATATAAGAATAAATGTTTTTACGTGAGTCCTAAAATAAACTATGAAGAGACTGACATAAGTCAGACTTCACCCAGTTCATGATATATGTCTTTTTTAAATTTTCTCTTTGATTTGATGTACTTCTGTATGCCACAGAGATAGTAATAACTTATTCTTCAGAGAAGAGTCACTCTAACTCCATTTGCTGTCTTTGTTTTGATTTCCTTGGAGGAGGGAAATTAAAAAGCTTATTGGGTAGAGAGCCTCTGCCTCTCAGAGACATGGAAATTCAACTGGCTGACACAATTTTTACTCTTTCTGCAGTGAATAATGTTCTGAGTTGGACAACAACCGTTCACCATGCGATCCTCGATGATGTAAGTGGGCTATTTGATGATGACCACCCCGCCCTTGGGCAGGGTGTGTGCTGTGTCCTGGGGAGCTCAGGCCTTCACCTCCGGGAGGCATTACTGGGAGCTGGACGTGGCACTGTCCTCCAGCTGGGTTCTGGGGGTCTGTAAAAGCATCTTCACACGTGATACCAGTATCAGCATTGGTGCTGAAGAAGCATTTTTTCTCTGTTCTATAAAGGTGAACAGTCAGTATATTCTGTCCACCACCTCCCCACCCTTTGTTCAGTTTATGAAAAGGCCTCTGGGTAAGATTGAAGTGTTTTTGGATTACGAAAACGGAACTGTGAGCTTCTATGATGTTTTCAGAAGTTCCCTCATATATAGTTCCCTTCCTTCCACCTTCTCCTCCCCTCTGATACCTTTTCTTTGCCTTAAATCTCCATGAATTGTCCAATTCTCGGGCCATTTATTGTAGCTTCTTCTCTAGGGATATTGCTGCCCTTAACTTCATGTGAGGCCACAGGATACCTGACTGTGTCCATCAGCACATTGTTATTTAATGTGACATAGTGATTATATGTTTATAAAATGGCATAAACATGTTGTATGTATAAATCTGTTAATTAAATTTTAATAAACATTTATTATGGAGTATTTCATAGAATATAGTCAATTGCTTTTCTTTTTAAAATAAGGATTATATTAAACTAAAGTTTATGTACCATAAAGGTCACTACCTTTAAACTACATAATCAATGGTTTTTAGAAATATACAAAACTGTAAAACCAAGACTGTTTCATTGCAGGACATATGCATGTCATTCAAAAGGAACCAATGCCCAGTACCATTTACTCACTCTAGCATACACCATTTCATCACACTCTTCAGCAAACTTTTCTCAAGTTAGTAGATATTTTGACTACTTGAGGGAAATTCCTATGATAGTTCAGACAGTTCTTATCTTATTTCATGTCATTGTTACATTCCCACTCTCCGTGCAGTACTCAGAACAGAACACAAAGAAGTGTTACTTTAAGAAATGCATGAATTAAAGAGTTCAT